CGGTCGGCAAAATCCCCAAGTGCCGGGAGCAGCATTATTTACGACCAGCCTTTCGCTGCTGATGCCCAGCCACTGCGGTACCCTGCTTTCTTCTCCAGCCGAACGGCACTCAGCCTTTTTCCCCTCCCCCTCCATTAACCGTGCTACCTTTCACCTTGGAAACCGGCATCTCCGACTGCAGTTCTGCTTCAGGGGAGCTGAGCACACCATCTTTTTATCGTTCCACAAATACCTCAGTCTACTTTTGGCTGAAAGCCCTTTCGACACACTTGGCCAAATCGTGCAATTAGGGATTCACACACCTCTAATTGAGGCCTCCTTGCGCAGGCGACAGCGGCCACAGACCGCTCCCCGCTGCAGCTGCCCAGCCCCTCGCTCCCTCCTGCCCACGCCGGTGCCAGCGCGGCTGGGACTGCCCAAGGCTCCCTGCCCCACGCTGCCCCATCTGGGGCCAGAGGCACTGGGGGGCTGTCACATCTCATCCTCTTCCCACTCAGCAGATAACAAACTTCAGGCCGTGATTTTGCAAACACTGGAATGGTTTGGGTTGGGTTGGAAGGGACCTTAAAGACCATCTAGTTCCAACCCCCCTGCCATGGGCAGGGACACCTTCCACTAGACCAGGTTGCTCAAAGCCTCATCCAGAAATCCCACCGGGTTTCCTTAAGGAAAGGTCTGGCGAGCCGGGGAGTGTTCACAGCTGTGAGAGCCCGTTACGCTGGTGAGCCCTTAACGTTTCATACAGAAGGTCCTCTTCTCCCTTCGCACACGTCCCAGGCATTGACGACGGCAACGTCCTGGGGGTGCAGGAACCAAACCGCTCACGGGTAAACACCTACCAGCAGCTGAGAAGGCGCGTTGGGTGTTAGACACCAATTATGTTGCGCTCTCAGAACCTTCATTATCTCCAGGCTCTTCTGTTTGCAATGACCCACCAACATGAAAATGATCTTTGCATCCTCTCCAGGGCGTGGAATCAGGCTGCGGGGATCAGAGTAAACCTTCGGGTTTTCCCTGGCAGCAGCTACATGTCACCCTCAGGTGGATTCAAGGAAGCTCCACCTTGGCAAACTGGGGAATACCTACACCTGCCCTCTGGGCAACTATTTCCAACAGAACTGTTACCTGAAAAACATGGAGTGGATGAAGTTCTGCACACCGGTTCCCCTTTCTAGGAAATGGGAGGAAAGTTCTTCGCTAAACCAAAGGGGAGTTAAAGACTCACATCCCACTACACCGACGTCTTCAGGACCGCGTTTCCTTAAGCAGCCCATGGACATGTGCCCAGCAGCTTTCAACCACCAAGCAGAAGAAACCGCGTCTTTGAAGGGTGAAACAACCCGTGTCCCTCCCACCACCCCTCTGCGTTGGCAGCTGCCGGGCCAACAAGGCAAATGAAAGCCATGGGCTCAGACCTGGTCCCTCACGAGACCTTCTGGAAGCCCAAGAGGCAACACTCAGCTCGGAAGAAGCAGACGCAGCTGGAGCCAGGGCCTGGCCATGAGTGGCGGGCCTGCCCTCGGCTCGGAAGCTCAAAGCGTGTTCCTCTCCTCTCAGCAGCTCAGCTCGCCCACCAGCGATCAGAGCCGGGGAGGAGGAGCCCCGTCTGCAGCTCAGCAGAGATGGCCGCTGAGGCACCCTGCATCCACATCCGCCGCATCTTCTTCCAGTCCTTGCCCTGGACTCGGCTCATTGGAGCTGGGGCCCAGGGGCGATCGCTGCCACCTGCAGCTGGAGCAGCAAGCTGGGAGAAAATCACAGCAAGGGGAAGTTGAAGGCTTTGGAGAAGGAGCCAGAGACGGTCATTGCTCGGAGGGCAAAAATCCAGCCTGAGGCAGCCGTCGTATCTGTGTTGAGAGGCCTTTCCCTGGGATGCTGGCAGTCAGAGGGATCAGGAACCAAATGATTTGGCTGACCTTAGAGCACCTTCCAGTACCTGAAGGGGCTACAAGGAAGCTGGGGGGGACTTTTTACAAGGGCCTGTAGTGACAGGACAAGGGGTGACGGGTTTAAATTGAAAGTGGGGAGGTTTAGATGGGACATCAGGAAGAAGTTCTTCCCAGAGAGGGTGGTGAGGCCCTGGCACAGGTTGCCCAGAGCAGCTGTGGATGCCCCATCCCTGGAAGTGTTCAAGGCCAGGCTGGATGAGGCTTGGAGCAACCTGGTCTAGTGGAAGGCCTCCCTGCCCATGGCAGGGGGGTTGGGACTGGATGGGCTTTAAAGTCCCTTCCGACCCAAATCATTCCATGACTGTATGACTCCCTGCCAGCCCCACTGCCTGCTGCGGCCCAGCCGTAACCTTGGCAGCACTGGGCATTGACGATCTCTATTCACGGACATGTGCACGTAGTAGAAATTCAAAGAACTGAAACCCAATCTTCCTGTAATTTATCCAGCACAGGTAACACAGACACCAAATTTCCCTGTCTCAGTCTGGTAGTGCAACATCATCCATCCAGCACAGAGCTTTCAGTATAATGGATTTTTTATAATATTATCATTATTTAAATCTAACCTGTACAGGCAGTTCCACTCTGCTATTCAACCCGCCAGTGACTGGTCCGAGATCCCAATCCCCTCTTTTTCCAGGCAAACAACCGAAAGCCTCACAAAGTGCCCAAGTATCACCCCCTTCTGTCCCTCGTTCACAGCCCGAGCTACTTCACCCTGCCAGGCTGTGGGCAGTGGTCACCTTTACCCCACAGCTACTACGGGGAGCTGCTGGTAGGTGAATTTTGACCAGGGTTGACCCTACAGGAGGACCTAAAACTTCCTGATCTTTAGTTCAAAGAATAGATAAAAGACAGCACAAAACGCCCATTGTTCTCTGTTTCACCCTGTTAGCCCCACTCTATCCAAACAAGAGAGTAGATGAGGAGCATTTGCTGGTAGAAGAGTCAAAAAACTTACTACCTATGAATTCAGCGTCCTGTGAATCGATACAAGCAGGGTGTTTTCATCTCACACCGCTCACGAGCCATGAACTTCTGCCCTAAAAAGCTGCGGTTCATGTTCTCCACCAGCTAAACACAGCTACTTATCCCCGCAAGCGCCAGGAAAGCAGAGACATCACCTTGACTCTCACCAGAAGCCCTTCTCGGGAGGCAGCAGGTTTGTACAGCCAAACTCTCAGCCGGGTACAGGAGATGCTCATCCTGCACCGGCTGGGGCTCGCGGTAGGCAGCGGCTTGTACGTAACGGAGGGGGCGATGTGCCAGGCGAATTTTTCCCCAAAGAGTTGGGCTCTTCATCGAAAGTTTGTGTAATACCTGAAGGACAAACGTTATTACCTTGTTGAGAAAAAGTTTGGTATCAGTAATTATGATAATTCTGAAAATTCTATCAATTTTCATCAATACAATGATCCATTTTCCTTTTAAATCTTGCTCAGCTTTTCTCCTCGAATTACTTCTGCTAGAAGGGAGTGCCATTGATTTAATGAAAAAAGTTTCTATCGGGTTTGAATTTATCACCTCTGCTTTAAAGACAAATATAAAAACTGGGCCAATAATGCTACAAGACAAAAATAGAAGTTCTCCATCCATTTTCTCAGTATTAGTCATAACTGTAGCTATTTTAACCACTCATTCCCCGCAATCTCTCTGTAATATTCCCGCTGTCTCATTATTTTTATCATTTTCCAAACCCTGTATGTGGGCAATACAATGTGTTTGCCCACAATGCCCAGTCCCAGACCAATCCAGGTTAATTTTAAACCCCAGAGTTGTCCAAGTGCTTCGCTTTCTCTAACTACGCCGTCCTTTACACTCAAAGATGAACTTCATTGTCACTGCGATCCGTTCCATGAGCTTGAGAAGGTGCCACTACGCTTTCCTGATTTTTTGTGAGCTTGACTCGAATAACCTTCACCGTTTTCCATTTCACTGGTCATTCCTTTTCCAGATTAATTGAAAAATCCACCTTATCAATTGAAAAAAAAAAAAAAACCAAAACCAAAAAGGCAGAGGCCAATCGTAACTACTGGAAAAACACAAAAAAAAAAAAACACCCAAAACAAAAAGGCAGAGGCCAATTGTAACTACTGGAAAAACACGAAGCATGAAGAAGTTTTTGCAATTTTACAGCCAGTATAATAGATTGCTCAGCAAATCAGCTATTACATTGTCAGCCCCTTCCCAAGTACGTACCCATGGCAGACAAGGATGCTCCTACCTTATGAGGGTTGCTAACACCTCACTATCATGAGCCATATATTACTCTCAGCCTCGAATAACAGCAAAGGCCTTTTACTGGGCTCTGAAAATAAGCTTGACACTGACAAGTCCTGGCCAAGACAGAGTATCTAGGAAAGCTCTAAGTACTTCAGGAGAAATAAAGGGAGGTGGGAACTCTCCTGTAAGAATCTTAACAGATCTTGGCATTTCCTGTGATTTAAGCACAGAGTTCCCATTGGTTTCAATGGTGCAACTAGATGGTCTTTAAGGTCCCTTCCAACCCAAACAATCCTAGGATTCTATGATAAAGGTGATAACATGCGCTTTGGTGCTTTCTCAAGCTGATGGTCATCAAACGTTCTAAAAAAAGATCAGGTGTTTTGTGCCCCTGTAGTTACTTACTTAGCATCTGCACTGCAGCGTAACAGGAAAACCCACCAGGCCTCATGTCGGCAGCGAGCACCCAACGACGCCGTCAGCTCCGTTCCCAACACCCAACGCGGTCGGGCTCTTCGCCGTAAGCAAACGAGGGCTACAGAAACGTACGGCAGGAGCACGCACTGTCCGTGAGGTACACGGGGGTGTGACGCAGCCGCGCGTTTCCAACCGCCCCTGCGCCAAGAGAACCGCAAACTCAAGGCCGCTGCTCTTCGCGGGCAAGGAAAGCAAACCTGAAGCGATAAACCCCAGCAGCACTTTTCAGCAGGTGCTGCCCCCTCTTTTATTTTTAATAAACAAAATGGAGTCCTTACTTTGTTTCCAGATTAAGAAGTATTATTAAAAGTAGTTACAGGCCCAACTACAACCCTTAGAACACCACCGCAGTGCACTACAATATCCTTTTATTTAGTTTACAGAAGAGTCTATCAGTACAGGTTGCAGAAAGAAAATGTTTAGTGCTATTTACAATTTGTTTTAAAACTCTGCTCTATACAAATTTAATTCTGATCAGTATGAACAATATTTTTTTGTAAATCTACTGCATATAAAGCATTTCATCAAAGCAGTAACAATGAATAACCAGATTACATTTGAATGATGCCGATCATTCGAAAAAACCGATTACACAGAACATCTGTAAGAGTTGTGGACACTTAAGTACAGAACACAATGTCAACCTGTGACTCATTGTTTTTGTTTTTAAAGGCTAAAGCTATTTATATGTAATATTGTTCTATTATACTACACGCCAATCTATATTTAACTTCTATAGTTATGTATTTTATAAGATTTTTATTAAATATATTCTACACATATTTGTAATTTCACCCAGGAAGAATTCCTACCCAGTGAAAAAAATATAAAATCTTTTATATTTTTTTATTTATTTTTATTTTTTATACAGGTTTAGATGAAACTAGCTCATGCTTTAGTGCTGTGCAAATTTCTTTAGCATATCAACATTTAAATTATTGATATGAAATAAAAGAATGGCATCCTTTTTAATTATGTATGCCTTCAAAAATCAGCTTCTGATTTTAATACAATTGCAAGCACTAATACCAAATGCAGGTTACGTAAAGAAACAAAACTAGTACTATGGCAGAGGTTTTTCTTTTTGCTTTTTAAACTTTAATAATTCTTTTGAAGTCTAATGAGTAAGCATGACACTGGACACTAAGGTACAGATGAGAAAATGACTGAAAAACACCAATTGCCAATATTCAAATACATAAAATTGATTAGTAAATGAGGTTTTCTAACATTTATGCACAATAATAAAAGCCTATGAACTACAGGAAATTACCCCTCCCACATTAAGGCTAGGAAATGCACTCTCTGCACTTGTTTGTGCTGTCTGAATAAGCACTCAACCAACATACGAGATCAGAGTGCACGCAGTAACGAAAGAATCGGTTTCATCAGCCCTCGACAGAGTGCTTTTAAATTACAGGCACATAGTTTTTGTGTTTGTAGCAGTGAAAATACAGATAGTTAGACTTGGTTTAGTTAGTACTCTGTGCCAGCTCGGCCACCAAGGTTGACTTAGGTAGAATTGACTTAACAGTTTTTCCTCTGATTTGGCCATAAGTGAGATTTGTTTTGATTATGGATATTCTGTTTTCCAGTGTTGTATTACACATTGTAGGTTATTACCAGGTGTCTCAAATATTGTTAGACATCGCTGATGACAAATATACTGTCAGCCATACTCAGTGCAAATTGCATCTAGAAAGCCTGACTGGTTAGATCCGGTTAATGGCGATTTTTGTGGTAGCAAAATGATTCCTGCTACGGAAAAGAACACATTAACTTTTCTGGAGATTGAGTTCTTTCAAGAACTGATGTACAGTAAGATTATTCAACAAACAAAAAGCAGGAATTAAAAAAAAAAACAACAAAACCAAAGCACAAACAATGAAAGTGTTCATAGATTTTTTTTCTCTTAAAAAAAAAAAAAAGACTAACGAGACAGTGTTCGTGTAATATTTCAGTTCCATGGATTTACAGACAGGCTCTTCCTACAGGTGTCTGAAGCAAGGTAGGGCCTCTTCTATTCCAGCAGCATGAAAGACAAAGACTATATTACATCACACTTAGCAGGTAAAGCTAACAGGGGTTACAGGATTACACAGCAATTGCTTTCTCCAGTTTTTTCACGGTTCCTTTGACCTGTGGAGCAAGAGGAAAGTTTTGCTTACACATCGTATCAAAAGCAATTGAGCTGTTCTGTGTGTGACTATGCTTGATAGAAGTGTGGGGTCTATTATTTTTAGCAAAAAGAAATTATTTACTATTATTATTATACACGTACATAACCGAAAAAGAAATCAGGGGTTGTTTTTTAACAATAAAAATGAAAGTTTTTAAGGTCTGAGTAAATTTACTTAACTCTTCATTTTCTATAAACACCACATAGAAAAGTCTTCCATTACTTGCTTCACAAAAGACCACAAGGACTTGACTTTTCCCTACTGTGAAATACCCAAAAAGCCTGTAAGAGGCCAAACTGCTCTGCCAGGTACTTGAGGAAGAAATACCCCTAGTGCATAGTGTACCTTGAGAGTTTGGCTCTGGCAACGTCTCTCTAGCCACCAAATGCATCACCGTTGTTTTGCCAAAAGGAAGTTTTAATGCTGCAAAAGGAAAAAGGGAGATTTATTAATACCTTACAGCAGTCATCTTTCTTCAAAACACCCAACTGAACATAACTTTAATTGGATGAGCATCTGTTCAAATGTTTCTACTGTCAAGTTTGAGCTGCTTACTGAACAGAGCTATAAAGGCATTTCTGTCTAAAGTCTTGTAGCTCAGGGTCTTGGGACCTGATGATAATCACCTAAAACACTGTGTTCTTAGAGACGTGACATTCCTGATAGGAAACAGCCTTCCTTTTTTTGAGTAAAAGTAGAAGTGGGTATTCATGCCAAGACTCAGGTGGTAAGCACTCCTTATGGGAAAAAAAGAGGCTCATTCAGCCACTAAATTGTTAACACCTGAGACATCAAAACACTGAGCCACTACTACAAAACAGATTTTCCTATAACATACTTTGATCCGCAATACAGGTTTTCTGAAATGTCTGCATCTTGCCTTTTAATATTAATCTGTAACACCAGCTGCAGGTGAAAAATACCAGGTTTAAAACATTTTATATCATATAAGGCAGTTCTCACAATGATGCCTTTGTGAGCTTTAGTAACACAAAATAACAAAATTGGAGCTTTCCACAATTTGTTCTGCTTGTTTCAGAAAGTAAACTAATCAGAATTTTCATGTTCTGATTTAACTATACCAACGTAACGCTGCATTTATGGGTTTGGCACTGTAGCATAAGATTTATCAATACCTCAAGTCTCCTTGAAATGAAAGGATTCCCTGCTGCACATTATATTTAGCAGATTCTCATTGCCAGAGTCAATATCCTGAACTTTTGACTTCTTCCAATTATTTGTAGGGGAATGGGAATTATTTTAACAGGTTCTTTACATAACTTTAGCTTTGTTTCCTCTCTCCCCAATTCCTAAGATTAAGCACTTCCCTTGACTATTTTACTGATAAGTATAAGGTAACGATCCTCTCTCTAAGTTTGGTCTTCCCCTCTCTGCACAGAAGAGAAAAGGTATTGATAAACATAACAAGAATCTACGATAAATACACAAGTCATTCTGACTTTAGAATTCGTCCCTCCAAATTCAGTGTACATCATCTATTTTCCTCTACAGTACACCAAGGCATTTTAAGTAAATAAATGAATAATGAATGTCCAATAAACCTGAAGGTAACTGAAGAGAAAAATGCCTCTTTTTTTATTACTGAATTTTGAAACGATACTGTAGTGTTCAAAGTAAATAAACCTAGTGTTCGGTTACTACACGTAATACTAGACATATTAAATACAGGCCTAGTTACCACCCTGCTATTAAATCACATTCATTGTCCATGGATTTGTTAGAAAAAAATGCAAGTTATGACTGTAACACAGGTGTAAGCATAGAGAGGGATACACAGATCCACAAGCTTCTCTGAAGCAGCTGTACTTTGGGAAAAGCCATCTCCCATAGAAAGCCAGACCTGAAAGTTGCTTGGTTTAGTGAAGCACTGCCCGTGCCTGCAGCTAGAAGCTATTGACAGCTTCAAGGCTGAAGGATTCTGGGTACCAGATTCTGTGACACAACTGAGAGCTCCGCCGAGAGCACACTGACAGTCTGCTAAACTCAAAGGAAAAGGACTGTCTTCGTGACAAACGCTTAAGAGGCCATTACAGAAAGAGCAAAATATTCCAAACTAATCACATTAGGGACATCTTTCATAATATTGAGACACTCGAGGAGACTTGATTAGTGAGCTGTGGAGATTAATTATTTACAGTAATCAAGTCAAAGTATGCTAATATTTTAATTAACTCATTTCAGCTAGTAGTTTGCATAGTTCACACAAGTTGTTATTAGCAACTTCCAGCTTCTTGCTTGGAGCACCCTGACAGAATGTGAGCACCTTAACCTATGCTCAGTTATCCTGTCTCGCTCCTGTCTTCGCCCTTTTCACCCCTTTCCAGCACTTAAACTAAATCCTTATTTAACTCCAGTCCCATCTGCTTAACTCCGCTTCTATTCCAGGTTTTCTGTTGTCAGAATTTCCTTTCCACCCCCTCTTTTGGTATGTGTATGACACAGGGTGCCCCCCCCAGTAAATAAGGAAGTAAACCGCTGCCTATTACCATGATCTAACGAGAAACAGAACTGTCAATTCTGTATTATCTCCCTAATTAATATGATTTCAAATGCAAACTGCAGACCAAATATTTAGCTGAAGGAAGAAATTTCCTGTTGGAAGCTGAACAAACTGCCTTGCTAGGTAACTCCCTGGCCCTTCACAGAGGCAGGACACAACGAAACTGTGTGGCTCAAGCACCGCAGGCAAAAGTGGCACGGCAAGCTTTGAGGGGGGTGTGTGTCTGTTTTTCTTTTCCAATGCCACTAGCTCTCCTGTTCTTGCAGTAACAGTCCATTCAGAGAGGCTGGCAAAAGAGCTCGTTTCTGGCAAAAGACATGGTTTCTTTAAATTTTTTCCACTCAAAAGCCAGTTTTTTCTATCCATTTGTCATTTTTTGCGGCTTCTTAGTTTATAGGACTCTCCAATTCCTAAGACACTGCATAGACACATGAGGTTACAACAAGAACATTACAAAGTCGTTTTGAAATGTGAACAAAACCGGACTGCTGCTAAAAACCCTCCAAACTGTTTCCTTGGAAACTTTTGTTTCACTAGTTGATAAAGTGACTTTCAGTACACAGTAGGTTCAAATTCCAGTCAATATTTCCTAATCACCTAAAGCAAATAAAACACTAAGTACTATAACTCAGAGAGTTGCAGATAGAAAAGCTTAATGGAACTGTATTACAACAGCATAAGAAGCTAAATATTGTATTTAGCAAGAAATTCCCTTCCCCCTTCACACCCCCTTCCTCCTTTAAAGATAAGGAGTTCACTTAGGGCTACATCTAATGAACCCCATAAAGCGAAGTAGCAGTGTCTTCAGGCTGCTTCATGGATCGCTGTTCCACTTTCAGCCCTAAACTTTGTTAGAACTGATCTGGAGTAAAGTAAGCTAATGTTTTAGGGATTCCTGTTCTTAACACAATACAGCAACAAAAAGATCTTTGGAAAACACTACTACACATGTAAGATCCTTAGGGTAAAATCATGATGATTAAATTGCAACGCATGAATGATTAAGAATGAACTAAAATGCCCTGAACCCAAGTAAGTGTTCAAAACCCACAGAGCTGAGTTAATGCAAGAGTCAATGGCAAACAGCCAGTTTTTTTCAGCCTAACTTGTTGAACAATATATTAAAAACGTACAAAGTTGTTTTAGATTTAGACAAACGTCACTAAAGGGAACAAGCAGCACCGATGGTCAAGAGCAACACCTAGAGATGAATGGCAAAGAAAATGCCATTTAGCTACCCTTGCCTGGAAAAGACTAGCACCTCTAATTGCAGAGGTGGTCCAAGACTTAGCACTTGTCCTTTCACCCTAAGTCCAACGGCTACCAGTGGCATTCATTGGCACCTGGTAAACACACAAAATAAAGGATGAATAAAAATTTCAGAAAGTTCTCCCAGCTGAACTGACAGCGATTTTGTTTGTATACATAACAGCATTAAAAATTGATTTGTACGGAGAGTAAATCTATTCTGAAAGTACACCCCTAGCCAACATCGGTAATGGTGGAAAGCGAATCAATGGCTGCATCATTCCAGTCACTTCTTCATGGGAAGACCACCATAAGCAGTCCAGGAATATCCTTTTCTGGTTCATCTGAACTTCAAAACCATTTTATTAGTGATTTTGTATTATACTGTCCTCCCTGTAGTGCACTCAAGCGCCAAATGCATGAACAAGCTGAACATGCAGAGAAAGCAGAAGTATTAATTCCTTTTTAAACCGGCACAGAGAACAGAATCATTTTGTGTAGTCATTGACACAGCTGATATTCCCACAGGCAACTTTTGTCTACAAAGGGGAAGATTACTGTTACAAATTGACGTCATATCTCTGCCAAAGATGCCCATCAAAATATGTAATTGTGGGAAAACGCTTGCCACGAGGGGGCACAGCTGAATTGCATTTCCTTAAGCGTATGAAGCGAAGCCATTTACTTTTGTTTTCGCATAACTATGCAATTGTATCCCTGGGAGAGCACTGGACAGCAAGAATGCTTCCCCTCATTCTCATTCAGAGGGTGTCTTCCTTCATTGCACTAAGATTTAAAGAATTGGTTAACCAATTGCCATAAAGTTTATCAAACATTTTTAAAAATACTTCTGATATTTTAAGTAGCTTCCCCTGCAACCACAGTGTAAGAGAGGTGGAACAACATATTCATTTAGAAAGACAACAAATTAAAGCAGCACTATCGCTTCTTTGTACAAGGGGAGACTTGACTTAGCATGTGGTTCCTCCCCAAGTTTAACAACTAGTGGCAGTAAGATGGCAAAATACACAGTGAGACACAATGTCACTCTATGCAGAGGAAAAATAGCATATAGCGAGCCATACTGTCAGTCTGAACAGTAAATACAACTATTTTCTGCACTGTAAATAGAAGTCCCCTTTGCCTGGCTGTAACATGCATAATGCAAATTATTTTCATACCTCCTAATGTCACATTGCCATGAAGAAACCTCCCTTGATAAATAAGCCGCAAGATATTTGGACTGCTGACTTGTTCTTCTTCCCAATCTGCAGAGAAGAGAGAGAATTTTCACAGTTATGTTGTAATAAAGACCTCTTTTGTTATTTCTCTCATCTTTACCCAGGAAGAAAACCAAGAACAGGACTCCTGCATGAAGCGCTGAAGAGAGAGCAAAGGCTGAAGACACAGACACATAATTCAAGGTTTCCTGAAAACCATGCTTAAATTTATTACTTGCCATTGGGCACCGAAACACATAATTTTATGCCTGCAACTATAACTATTACTTACCTAACTTCACAGATTGCATGAGATGTTTAGCACATATACAAGCCCTACACAAAATATTTCCTAAATGCAAGTTGCCTTCTGCAGCTTAATGTCCACTTGGCTAAAACTCCCTTAATTTTTTCCCCACTCAGAAGATTCCCAAGCCATACTCCTCCTTGCCAGATAAGTAACAGGAGCTGTTCTCCAGCAAGGCGAAGCGGCCACACGCAGAGCGACAGCGCGTGTGATGGGTCACTTGAAAGAGGATTCTCAGATCACAGCTCCGTGGGCGGCTCAGTGCCGTTCGATGATGGCCAGATCGAACCAGTTAAACGTCCAGAGGCAGCAGCGACCCCAGCAGCCCCCAACAGTCGCTGCGGAGGGCCTGGACAGCTCTCCCAGAGCAGACAGCCACTGACACATTACAGGGAACTTCTCAGAGGACAATCTGTGGATGTTTTTATGTGGTTCGGGAAAAGCAAGCATGCGTGTTCCTACAGTGTGCAGTGTGCGCTGGCAGCCCAGAAAGCCAACCGTATCCTGGGCTGTATCAGGAGAAGTGTGGCCAGCAGGTCAAGGGAGGGGATTCTGCCCCTCTACTCTGCTCTGGTGAGACCCCACCTGGAGTGCTGCGTCCAGCTGTGGAGCCCCCAGCATCAGAAGGATACAGACCGGTTGGAATGAGTCCAGAGAAGGCCATGAAGATGCTCAGAGGGCTGGAGCCCCTCTGCTATGGGGACAGGCTGAGAGAGTTGGGCTTGTTCAGCCTGGAGAAGAGAAGGCTCCAGGGAGACCTTATAGCACCTTCCAGTACCTGAAGGGGCTACAAGGAAGCTGGGGGGGACTTTTTACAAGGGCCTGTAGTGACAGGACAAGGAGTAAAGGGTTTAAATTGAAAGTGGGGAGGTTTAGATTGGATATCAGGAAGAAGTTCTTCCCGCAGAGGGTGGTGAGGCACAGGAACAGGTTGCCCAGAGAAGCTGTGGATGCCCCATCCCTGGAAGTGTTCAAGGCCAGGCTGGATGAGGCTTTGAGCAACCTGGTCTAGTAGAAGGTGTCCCTGCCCATGGCAGGGGGGTTGGAACTAGATGGTCTTTAAGGTCCCTTCCAACCCAAACCATTCTGTGATTCTATGATAATGCATTTCCTATACTACTTAAGCTGTCATAAATCATTTATAAGCTTAAATGATCGTTTCCTCCTCTTTTACTGTCACAACGTGACCAACAAATAAATCTGCACTTTGCTTTCAGAACAAATGTCATAAAACCTTGAAATGTTGAATTGAAATGGGCTCTCTGGGAATACAGTGTCTTCTGTTTCTTAGCTGACCAGATATGGGGTAACAGCTGTTCACAAATGTTCTCCCTTTCTGCTTTTGTAGTGTTTATACCCCAAAATGAATATTCAGTGAGGGATAGCGACAGGCAGCACAAACTAACCTGTTTGCTGGGAAAATACAATTAACACACAGGCAGTGGCAACTGGCACCACAAATGAAGAACTGAAAAGCAGAGAAGGGGAAGCGTTTCCAACAAAAGCCATGGCTGCGGAGAGCGTGTGGAGAGGCGTCTGGTGCGGAAAAGCAAGCGGGCGGCGAGCGGAGGCCCGGGGCTGGCAGAACACAGGAGAGGTTGGGCTGGTGTCAACAGCCGAAGCTGCAGTGTCCCTGGGTGCCACCACATGCCTGGCCTATAAGGTTAGGTCAAATTAGGCTACCAAAGCGATTCGAATTCCAAGTATTTCCACTCAAGGGCTGATTTGACTGTCTTGCAATTCAAGCCCTTTTTTCTGTGCTGTGAAGCGGGCTGAGTTAAGGATTGGAATTATCACACTGCTAGGATAAACGATTTTTTGGAAGATACCAATATTTAACTCCATACAGTCCAAACTCCACTCTACTGTGGCTGTAAAGAAGAGAAGTTCAGCCAGTTTACAGTCCCATAATGACGTGAAACAGCAATTAGAAGACAGACCGACCATATTTTGGCACAGGTCATTGTTAAGCTGCCAATTCACACATCCTTTTAATTTTTGCTCCTTGGCTGACAGTCCGAAACATTTCTTTCTGACGTGATTTCAAATTTTAATTTCCACTGATGACTAAATGAGCCAAGGAGAAAAATATTTACCTATGAAGGTTTTCTATAGCTCAGCAGATAATTGCTGTACAAGAAAAAAAAAAGAATATTATTTAGAAGATAATGGGGTGGGATGAGAACAGGTGACCTACCTAGATGGCACACATTAACATAAATTAGGCATTTTCCACTATAAGTCAAGAGATCCTTAATTAACAGCTGTATAGCCAACAGAGGGGAGGAGCGGTTTGCCTTAATCCTGACAGCATGTGACTGAGGATATTTCATTACTTTCCCCCCCCCCCCCAAGATCATGACAAGTCAAAATGATGGTGAAACCAATCATTTCATAGCATTTCTATTTCTAGTCCTCATCAAGATGTCTGAGACCTGTGGCAAAGAGCACTTTCAGCCTGAAAAGGCGCTAACGGGCTAGTGTATGTGAAGACCTACACACTACTCTGAAGTAGGTTTTCCCTTAGTCTTTTAAACTGACACTATTCTTCTTTGCACAGGCAATTACATATTCATCAAGATTTAGAGCACTCCCTCAGGGCAGCAGGTATTTGAACTGAGGCTTCCATGTCCAGTTTATTTTATTTTTCTTTTGACAAGAGACCTTAAAGTCTGGGTTTATTCCCAACTCTAAACTCAGAATTCTGCAGCCTTCAAGCTCTTCACAGACTGGGAATGGGAGACCACATGTTCAGGAATAAACTCTAAGGAAAAAAAGCAGCCTTCACTATTTCAGATAAATGTACACAAAGAACATCTGGTCATACAACTATGCTGTAGGGAGACATTCCAATATGTACAGTAGCTACACAGATGCTGCATCAACCAGATTTCTTAGCGTAAAAACCTATCTAATACTTCAGAGGACTAAAAGCCTCCTCCTTCATTACATATTTTACTAAATATATAACACTGCATTCCAGCAAAACAAACAGCAAACAAGTCTCCCAAAACCCTGACCTCAAAGACCAGTTCGAGGCCTAAAATATGGATTATCTACACTAACTTTTTGGAATGAATGATTATCCACCCTACCTCTTTAACAAAGGCACCACAGAAACAGATACTGCAGTGTTTTAGTGTGTGTAAATGGTAGTCTTTTTTAAGATCAAAACAGTAACCCAAATGAAGTCCTGTACCAAAAGAAGCACTTTCTTTCATCGTATGTAATGCTATGTCTGTGTTTTGGCTATTTTCCCATGAAATCATAGTCAGGGAGAACAGAGGCACTTTGTTTTTGTGGAACTATTCACATATGTGAATACACATCTTAAGTTTTCAATTCCATTTTCCGAAGCTAGCACTCCTGCATAACATCAAATATATTCATACAAACAACCTCCGTTTCCCTCAGTCTTCTAATGCTTGTTAAAGTGTTCTTTTATATTTGCTTTTTTCCTGGAAAAAATATCATTATTAAAGATACTTTCCAAGTTAGGGCAGTAAGTATGCAAGTACTCCAGACCCAATTTCACTAATGCATTCTCTGACACGCCATGTTTTACATTAGCTGTCCTCACATAAGAGGTTTTGTACCTCCAACATTTCGTCACACTTACTAGATTCTCTAACAAGATTGATCAAGAAAAGTGCCTAAAGCTAGGGGGAAAAGAAGTACTTCAGACTGAGGAACCAAATGTTAGAAGTAAAGTGGGAAATAGTCTAGACATCTAAAAGTCTGCCCAACTGAAGGGACAGGGAAAAAGAAGGCAAGACGACGATCGTACTTCTATCCAAATCTGCGCCCAGATGCGCAATAAACATACGTTAACTCAAACGCTGAGAACAGAGATCAGTTTGTTGACCCTTCGGTCTGAACCAGGAAGCTTCTAACTTGACAGTAAAAGCCAAAGCCACACGGCTACTCACCCATCGGCCAGTTGTCATACACATGTTTTGCAATATCTGCAGCGGAGTCATTCGGTGAAAACAGGAACTCTTTCGTTTTCCCGCTTACCAAGATGAGGCGCAAATTTATCTGTAAAACAAATGCAATATTAGGAAAGGATCCTGAGAACACTTTAAGCATCATTATTTTTTTAAAGTCAGTAAAAAGTTGCCATTGGTTTTAGAAGAAGACTTATCCAAAGTGATTTGAGAAAACATTTTAAGATGGTGTTAAAAATAGGGTCAAAGAGGTCAATAACATTTTGTTTGTTTACACATAATCTAAGAAGATTAAATTCTAACAGCTGGCATTTTTTATGGTAAACACCAGAAGATTCTGACAGGTAGTGACTGAATCAACTGTGCCATGAAAAAAAAAAAAAGCTTTCAGCAGAGTATTAAAAAAATTCCAGCCAAGACACACTGGCAACACATCTTCTTGAATGAAGAGGAAAAATATAAACCTGAAAAATTAACCTTAATAGAGAGCATTAAAAATATCAAAACCTGCACCTGAACAGCCTGTGAGCCTCGGTAAAAGCCCCAGCACGCTCCCTCCAGCACGGCGTTTGTCAGCCCTGATCTCACCCACTGCATCTCCCATGAAACACCCGGGAGTCAGGCAGCATCCTGCCTTCGTCCCAGCTGCCACACAACTTGAACCCACACCTTTGTTCCGCCACCGTCTTTCGCTACAAGCAAAGCGGCCGAGATCCGTACGCGACACTGCAAGTAATACATCCCATCGTCATTTTTCTATCATCCATTTCTTTTATATAACAATCAGGACCTTCAACTATAATTCTCTTCTATTTGCAAGTTACTGCATACAATTCCCTTTCCATGTAGCATTAAAATAACCTGTATAAATATCTCACTATGACATTACTTGCAATGCAAGAGAGATTAAATTTTGGCTCCGCAAGGAACTGCTAGCAAGGTCACAAAACACATTTGTGCAGCTAGCCTGGGGAAAGTAGGAGTCTAGCTGCTTTTGTGTTTTGGCCTACAAGTCTAAATTGCATCAACTTTGAGCAAGACATCAGCATACTAACTGCTTGAATACTTTTTTCCAAATCACACTCAAACTGTGGCTCCCATTTTAAGTTAAGTTGCAAGAAAGCTTTCCTTGTTGGAATTCAGTAAACCGTTTTCTACGTCAAGTACAAAAGGAAAAATTTACAGTAGTGCCCAAATTTTCAAGCCTTCTTCAGGGTCACAAACCTCAGCACATCATACCCACTGAACATGACCACCCTGCCTCAGTCACCCACTCACCACTTCTTTCAGAATCTCACCAGACTGTCTATTCTCTCTCGAATGATTTGGCTTGGATTCATCCCACCTATCTTTAAGCATCTAATGGAGGGATCCAAATTACAATCTCTATCTTTCTGCACACTTCGAGGTCAGTGCAGGAAACGACCCATCCAGAAAGCCACTCTGTCTCTATTTCCAAGCATAGTAAGGATGAAAAGAGTTGGCATGAAAGGGCTAGGCTCCCCTCCCTGACGGCGTGCTAATGCCCATCAGAAAATAGGAGTTCTGCCGTTAGCCCAAGAGAGCAGCCAAGTGGTAGCTGCCTCTGAGAAAGCACCACAGGCACTGTATGAGCATCGCTGCATACCAGAAAAACACAAAAAAACTTCAAGGAGAGAAGCTACAGGAATGCTGCTTAGTCAGTCAATTATTCAGAAGACTCAGAGCAGACCTGGCTATAAATGTTAAAGTGATGTTTTCTTTGATAATTCCTGAATCATTCTGGAATATTTTCAAATCTCACCAAGATTCAGCAGAAAAAGCAGACCAAACTCCACTATCCACATTCATTCCAAAAACCTGATTGCTCTAAGGAGCCACAACTCCAAAATGTTATGCCCAAATTCAGCAGTGGCCAGACTATGTCCACGACTTGTTTTACTTGTCTTTCAGTTTAAATAGTTCCTCCCTCTTAGCTGCCTCCACCTGTGTACGCACAGACAACACTGGCACACGTTGTTTCTTTAGCTGGACTATCCAAACAAGCTCTTCAAGCTTTCTCTAGTGAGATATCCATTTCCCCATTCATCCCAGGGGTCTGTCTCCGCACATCTCATCTTCTTCTCTTTTCTCCTTGAAACAGACGACCATTTCTTGAAGCATACTGCATGGAGTCTCACCAGACACTTGCGTAACACCATCAGTAATTTCCTCTGTCTACTGGAAACATCTTCTACGACTGTGTCCCAAGAGCACACAAACCTTCTTCATAACTGCACCATGCCGTTTGCTCAGTTACTTTGTGCCCTTCTCTGCTTCCATCCTTTCAATTATCCTCCAAGTTTATAATTGACATTTTGGCTGTTAACACCCTAAAGCACAAGGCTCCAGCTTTCATCCCACTTCTACTACTCTATCCCTCTCAGGGAAAGGAAAGAATTATTCTGTACCACAAAGATGTTTCAGATCTTCCCCCATGTCTGGGTCCATGGACCACAAAATCATTAAAAAAAAAAAAAGCCAGTGTAACACTTACTTCTGTGTTAAGAGCATTTTTCAAACTTCATGTCATCAATACAGTCTAGCAGTAAGATCCCTTTACATGTACTTTTGTCTAAATGAATCAGGAAACTTAAGACTGATCTGGCAATTGATCCATAACGATTCCAATAAGGAGCTCTCTCCCCCCTTCTCTCAGCTAGGTTCTTTATGTTAGGCCCCTACACACACTCACAATTTCCCTATTACATCCTAAGTTCTCCTATTTAGCCAACAGTTTGCAACACGGCACCACATCAGATGCTACGTACATATTCAGATGAAACTATAAAAATGTCTACGTAGAAAATAAGTTCTTTCCATCAAAAGTCAGCTTGCCACACTCCAGCTTTCATCTGAAAGGCGTGGTGTGCTGCGTTCCATTCCACTTTCTCCATACCTCATTATCTTTAATTATTCTTTAAACGTTAATGCATCTCATTACAGCACCAACATACTGCCAAAAATTCAGGAGGCTTAGACTGTGCCACAAACTCTTATGGTTCTTGGGAATGGGCCGCCTGTTTAGAAACCAAACCAACCGACCCACCCCAAATCTGTGAGCACCAGTGGACAGAAGCTTCTGCACCAGCAGCCCTCCTGCCTCTCACCTGAACCCTCCGCAACCCTTTCCTCTAACTGGCTCCTGAGACCACCCCCCCACCCCACCCCCGGCCTTAGCTCGCTCCCTCTGGCCAAACAGTCCCCCAAATCTGATTTTTTGCAGGTTATCTAAATTTCCTCCTTCTGTGTGCAGTTTCTCTGTGGTGGGGATTACCTGTGCTGAAGATCATAACCCCTTCCTGGGCAGCAGACGTAACACCAAACCTAGAACTGTCTGATTTGGATCCTACAAGATGATTAAAAAAGCTCAGGAGATTAGCCCTGCTCAGCACTTAAAATATCATTAGGGCACAGCATTAATACAGAACTAATGTTGTTCTTGAGCTGGCATAACATTAAGAAGAGACATTTCTTTTTATTCTCACTGCTGATTTTGAGCCTACCAGGCACACTAAAGTGAATAGAGAAAAGAGAAGAATATCACAGAGAAATAACCAAAACTAACTTGGCTTCCTGGAAAATTCGATTAAGTCATACTTCTGCAATTAAAATACAATGTAAAATCAATATAAGCAACTGGAAAAAAAAGTGAGAAATGTCAGTTCCTTGTTTCTCCCCCACGTCCCCAAGATAGATAACTTCATACTGCTCTAGTTGTTTGTTGCTGAAGAGCATTTCTTATAATCTTACTATAAATTATAAAAGGCACACCAAGATAAACTAATAATTTTACAGGATATACTACAAAGTATGTGTAAAATGCAGGAGGAATATTTTCATTAAAAAAAAAGAGTATCACCAAATATCAGCAGAAGCCCAAAATAAAACCTTAAATCAGTCAAGCAGATGTTGCATCAAGTGCAAGGAAACAGCTGCTCTAATGAAAGGTTATTTTCTTATTTATAGTACAGCATGCCACTGACACATTTAGCTTGCATGTTTGTCTATATATGTGTGCGTGCATATATCTTTATATTTGTATTTCTTAATCTTGGCTTGAAGGAATCTTAGTCTTGAGTTGCACATCACACCACCTCCAAGTGTCTGAAGGAAAGAATCCCCAAACTCGCCTTTAAATTTAGAGTCTAATCTCCTTCCCCTCAAGAGCGCTGGAAAATGTAATGCCTTGCAACTGCTGTACTACTAATTCTGCAAGCCCGAGAACCCCACTTCCAACAACTATAGGGGACCTGAAACCATCCTTCCTGGCACAATGCCACCAATGGAAGTTTGCAGCTAAAACCTCATGGCAGGGGGGTTGGAACTAGATGATCTTTAAGGTCCCTTCCAACCCAAACCATTCTATGATTCTATGAAAAGACAAAAGAAAAAGGAGCATAGGTGTGTACATATTGACTCAAAGGAAAATGCAGGAAAAATAGTCTTTGTAACAGAGTAGTTTTGACACAAGAGCAAACTTTAATTTTTCAAGTTATGAAAGGATTTTTAGTGGTCTTAGCTACCATGTATCCTATTTCCTATGTTAAAAGTTAGCAGGGAAGTTGTATGTGTATCCCTTGTATGCTTAAAGCCATTCCACCTATCCTTGTCAACAGTCCTGGTCCCAAGACACTTGGGTGATTCTCATGGCTCTGACAAGTCTGCTCTTCCACTGGGAACAGCTGTCCCGATTCCCTCCCCAAACCCTCCAGGCTACCAAAGGGAAATCCAGGCTTTTCCTACCGCAAAATGATACCAGTCATATCCTCACGCTTCTACAATACAGCATCAACGTGAACGTTACTGCTGAAAGCCCTTACGAGCTACAGTATCAGAAATGGGATTAAACACAATTTGTGGACTACACCCCCTTGGCAGGGTTACGTAATAGCACATTCTGTCTCTGATCCCAAGCATGCAAACCTCGCCCCCTCTCCCCCCCACACCACAGCCAACACCAACCTCCTAATTACAGCCCCAGTAACTACCCCCAAAATTCCAGCACTGGACACGTACCCTAAACAACAAAAAAATTGTAAATTAAAAAATATATATGTAAAGATTGTAGTAACAACTGTGGCAACTTCTGAAACAGAAGTTTGAAAAAGTCACGCATATGCAGATGTAGAATTAGTTACGTTTTGTCTGTTATAGGCGTCTGCAATAGAGTTCGTCCATTCTTTAAGGCATAAACACAAAATGCCTTGGTGCCACAGTGCTGCTAATTTCACAGCTCAAGTTAAACAAATGGGAAGTCACTTCAACACCAAGAAACATTGTGTAGGTTGCAAATCTCTCATTTCTTGATGTTGGAGTGACTTCCCACCCATTCAGCGGAACAAGGTATTTTGTTATCAATTTTATGCTCCAGTAGCAGTTTAGGATTCTTCCCATCTTACAACTAAAATGCAGAGGAGGAGAAGTGTCATACCGCCACATGCTGTACAACCCAAGTTTAAGCTAACTGCTTTTCTTCAGCTGTTTAAGATCCAAATACATACACAAGACACTTCAAAGGGATCTGGCCAGGCTGGATCGATGGGCTGAGGCCAACCGTGTGAGGTTCAACAAGGCCAAGAGCCGGGTCCTGCACTTGGGTCACAACAACCCCCTGCGACGCTACAGGCTGGGGGACGAGGGGCTGGAAAGCTGCCTGGGGGAAAAGGACCTGGGGGTGTTGGTGAATAGGATATAGGAGCCAGCAGTGTGCTCAGGTGGCC